CCCGAAATTGTTTTGCGTTTTAGTCTTCCTTTGTTGAGACTCATAGCTTTGTTTCATCTTGTATTGAATTCTTCCTCTCACAGTCTGTAGATACACGGTGCATGAACGCTGTGTTCAGAGAGCTCCTGCCAGCTGTATTAGCACCTATGTCAAGTCTAAACGAACATCAAATGTAAGTTTCAAATCATCGACTGTTCATCTCTAAAACTGATGCTCAAACTGTCAAAGTCCACACTGTCCAGATATCTAGAATTACTCACAAGGAATATTCTAAATTATCTGTTTCTCCCTATCTCTTCTTAGTATCCTGAATTAATTCAAGTAAAACACTTTACATGCATGGCATTGCATTATTATAGAATGAAGCTTTTTGTTTCTTATATACGCTTGTGGTATTTTTACCAATAAATTTGCTGCAGTTCGTGTGGATTTGTCGTTAAATAATCTCGGATGATCCCCTAGCCTCACTCTTGCCAAGAACCCCGATGGTTCTTTCTAGAAAAATCTAGAAAATTTGTATTCATTTTCAGCACAGCCTTCCTTTATGTAAGTGCTATGGGCCTGCAAGTGTGTAGTTGAAATGCCTGTTTCTATGAATGCCATTGTGCTCATTCTCATTTTAAAGGATGGACCATTTCAGACCAAGTCCAGCTGTACATTTGGAACCAGCCTGCCCCCAGAAAAAAGGGAGAAAACGAACTTATCTCTTGATACCATTTCATGCATTTTGTTTTGTCTGCTTTAGTTGGGAAAATCAAAACTTTGAAACCTTTTCATCCCTTCCCCGTTTCATTTTGCCATTTATTCTATAACATCAAAAAGCTCAACTTCATTATCTATTCAGACACTGGCTGCAGCATTCCCAAATTGCTGTTATTACCTTACTAAATAGGAAATGCATAGATATATCCACTGTACTGGTAGGTCTGAATTGACCAGTTCTACATCTAGAGGCAATTGACTCCAAAAAGTAAGCCAAATTCCCAGTAGTAAGCAAACACTTCTTGCCGAGATGAGAAAAAAAATCACCCATGACCAGGAGTCAGTCATAAACAATGTAACCATTACTCTTTGACTGGTATCCTGTATTTTTAAAGGGAAACAGAAATGTTGGCAGCTTGCTCAGCTGCTCTCTAAAATGTGGGCCTACAATGAACCCCCTAAGTATCAGGGGGAAAAAGTCAAATACAGTATACAGAAACTGTTCTGGACAGAAAAAGGAAAGAAAAGACGAAGCTTGTAGTTGAATGAAAACCTTCTGAGATTAAATCTGGGTAAGACAACTTGGTGGTGGTAAACCTATAATCCAAACTTAAAACCTGGGGATTCGAACACACAACATCAAAATTGTAGGTGTTATCACTCTCTCAGCTGCACTCCATCGAAGTCTCAGTTGGCGTTTCTGATGCAATCAATGATTCAGAGAATTATCGTACAATCAATTCCTTATTTAACCACTTTTGCGCTGGGGGCATTTAGGAATGCTGATGATGCTGGGACGGGATAATTATCATTTTTTTCTGTGTTCAAAATTCCTTAAAAATTCATATCTTCATTTACTGGACACTCACACCCACACAAAGGACTGTCTGGTTCTACTCTAATCTGACAGACAACATCTGTTGATGCTGGAGTATTTCAGCCAGGCCTGCTGCCTTGTAAAAAGAGCCCAGATTGTGCAATGTTACATAATTTTCTTTTTTTCACGAAACTAGCACAGTGCGCTGCTGACCTCTTTTCGTTCGGGGCTAGATCAATGTGCAGCTGTACTGTGTGGCTCATGGCTACAGTGGTGGAGCGCTTTTGTCCCCGGCGGTAATCGCTCGCGCTGAATGCCCTAAACCGTGGTATACTGTTTCAAAACAAGGTTGGATTATCTCCACTATTGAGAGTGAAAAAATGTTGGCAAATCCCAGCAGCTTGGTCTTTGTTACGAGTACAGTCTTTTGTTACAAGGCTCAGTTCCCTTTGTCCGATTTCGGAGACCCTGGCCATGCGTATAAAGAATACATGTCCAAAACCGAAATCCCCGGTGGCAAGTGGTTAATAGTTATCACTGTTTTATACCCTCATGATTAGGAATTCTTAATCACTTTAGGTTTAGACAGGACATTGATATTGTCATTTGTGTACTAACATTGCTACCCTTCTTATCAAACTTACTGACCGCAACTGCACGACAATGCCTGTCCAAACGGGATGCTGAGGTTTGGGGGGATGTGCCGGTAGGTTTTCACCTTCAGATTTTTATCCGCCTTTTCCTCTGTGATTGCTAGCACTGCTGTAAACCCTTTCAGTTTCAAAGCTAGGATATCCTAAGTCGTCTCATGCACCTCCGCATCCTCTGCAAAGCAGACAGCCAGAGATATCCAGAGTTTTGTAGGGTACTGAAGGGGCTTAATGCAGCAGTGAAAGAATTGTTTACATTGTTGTAGCACTTTCTATCCATATACTGGGAGCCACATTTCAGTGCACTGTTTCCAAAACAATTGGTCACTATAGTGACCAGTTTTCTTGTGAAAGTTGATAGTTCTGTCTGCTATTATTTTGAAGTGGTGACTTTTATAAAGATTAATAAGTGGGCTGTTCAGTTGAAAACGGCATTTTTTAATGTTCAGTAATCTGCTTTTGATCACGTGCTGCTTTGACTTTCATATAGTGTTCGCCCTTCTTGTTTTGAACTGTTCACAGTCGATGCTGTTCTATGTGGTGTATGGTGATAATGTTAAACTTATTTCTCTTGCAAGTCAGGTGATTTGAAAGTTGGTGGGACTTTCTCACTGTTGGGCACATCAGGTTTTATATCATGGCTATTAACATTGATATCGTGCCAAGGGAAATGCCTGCATGCATTGTTTGTCATGATGGCAGATTTATGTGACAGCTTGTCTGGGCGCATTATTTGATGAGGCATGCTGGTCATGTTTGAACCAACCTGTCATTTGCCAATTAGCGTCAGTGTGTGATGTACAAGTGAATCTGTCACGGTGTTAAAAGTTTTGTGCCTTGATGGTTGTTTGCCGTTTTTTTCCCCCCTTGTTAACTGTGTGCATGTTGTAAAGTTGTGGGTTTTTTTTAAGGAAGACAAGTGATCTTCCACCCTGTTGGCAATATTTTTCTCGGCAAGTGCTCCCAGTCGTTCCAATTTCAGACTTGCCACCGTATTGAAATGGGACAAAGATCATTGCTTCCATTGGTCAAAGTATATCTGCCTCGATGATTACTTTCATTGGTTTATGGACTCTACACCCACCAGTGAGGGCGCTAGATATCTGCTGAACAATTTTGGCACTTTGGAGCCTCAAGAATCATAAGTTCTCATGCATGAATGGGACAGTTTATGCACCTCCAGTTGCCTGTGACACTTAGCACAATCTCTGCAACTTTCCACTGGGTGAACATTTTGGCATTCAATTTAATTTAATTTTGACTTCACACGAAAGCTGACACCGAGCTCTTTGAGAACTGGCTTGTTTTCCAAAACCTCCACTTACCAGGTGTGAACTGATTAAGATGAGATTCTAGAACTGACAAAACAACATATCAAATTCTTACCCCGATACTGTTTTCTATGCTGGTGATAATGTCGGGTTTACCCTTCCAAGAGCAATTTTGAGGGGCACCCCCGTTAATCTAAAACCATAGACATGTACATGTACACCTCCTGTGATAACTAGATGTATTTTCCATTGCCAAAGAAGAAATTTAGCTGTGTGAACTCCACACTGTTTGTAGTTATTTTGTATGTATGTATGTATGTGTTCTTTGTCAAATGATGAAATGCTTTTAAAAAAAATGATTTCTGGTTTTTCTTACAGGTAATGAACCATCACTGGGTTGAAGGTAACTGTCATGGCAAGTGTGACCGCTGCAAGAAGTCCATCAAGAGTTATGGAGTGACAGGTCTTCACTGTCGTTGGTGTAAGATCAGGGTGAGTCTGAAACCAGCCAAATGGCATTGTAGTGAAACACAGTTGCTGAACTGGTGAATCAAGTCTTGAACATATTACTGTCATTATAGAGTTTGTGCACGGCAGCCATCTTTGCGGTAACTGCTTTTGTTATGGAGGGATAGTACAAAAGGTCTACTTGTGTATCACTGTGGAACAAAAGCTCTTACCGTAAACATGGCTGCCGTGCACAGCATCTATTATTGCTGGTTTGTTCCTCCACTTGGTTAAATACATGCAACCCACTGGCTGAACTGTTCAGTGGATTGCAAAAAATGTTAAAGCAACACAAGTAACAAAAGTTAAAGAAAAGTTATTCTGTGGTTACAAACTAAAACATGGAAAAGTAACAGGTTATCCAGATAAGGTTTTTTGAATGGCGCGTTCGTGTTACTCACTTTCGTCAAAAACATAATTCTTGACACTAAAAATGCTAGTACTGTTACCTGTGGGCAGTTATCCCTTTACCATATGCTGCGGGGTCTAAATTGAAGTTGCTGATGAGTTTCAGGGGGATTTTCAAGTTTTTTCGTCTTCAAAATTCTTTAAAAATTCATATCTGACAGGCAACATCTATTGACGCCGGAGTATTTCAGCCAAGCCTGCCGCCTTGTAAAGAGAGCCCAGATTGTGCGGCGTTATGTAATTTTCTTTTGCTCCCGAAACTGGCCCAGTGCGCTGCTGGCGTCTTTTCAAATGTGGACCAGATTAGCTTGCAGTGACTCATCGCTGGGATGCTGGAGCACTTTTGTCCCCGGTCATAATCCGCTCGCACTGAATGCCACAAATAGTGGTATACTGTTTCAAAACAATGACGGATTACCTCTGCTATTGACAACTGAAAAAATGTTGGCAATCCCCAGCAGCCTGGTCTTTTGTTCCGAGTATGGTCATTTGTTACAAGGCCCTGCTCTTTTGTCGGATTTTGGGGCACCACAGCTTTGTGCATAAACCTAAGGTCTCCGGTACCGGAAACCCCGGCACAAAGTGGTTAAACTGTAACCAAGAAATTTCTGCTGCTACGTAATGCCCCACCCCTTTAAAGGCCCTTAGTTTTTGTGCTTGTTCCAGTGGAGAAAAGGTTATCAGAACTATGTGCTACGTGTACATAAAGCAGTGCAGGAACCTGGCTAGCCATACAGGATATTATTGCTACTAGCAACGCAGTGGTTGCTCATATTCATTCACCATATCCACATCACATGCTTTACATCCAGTCTCAGATCTGTCATGAGTAGAAAATCTTCTGAGTCAACTGAGTTGGCAAACCCCCGTCAACCCAGCCTAACGTAACTGTGCCTGCATCCTTCATCTCATTTTTGTGCTTGTGTATTGTTTTCTCTTTTGATAAATCTAGTTGCACAATAAGTGTGCATCATTGGTAAAACCAGAATGCAACATGGGCGAGTTCCGAGATCACATCTTACCGCCTACCGCCATCTGCCCTGCCGTACTGGTGAGTGTTCCTCGTCCCTGTCTGCCTCTTTTTATCCGTGTTTGTTTGACTCCCTTCCGCTGGGGCATTTTTTTCCCTCAAATGTACCGTACATGGGTGTGTTCTAAGCTAGTGGGCAGACATCATCCTCAAGGGCTCACATGCATTGTCAGAAGTTGATGATTATTAAACACTCTGACCCGACAAGAGGTCAGTTTAGGTGAAGCATTCACTTGTGCAAAAATGTTGGTATGTAAGGCCAGATATGTGTCTCGAGTAACTCACGTAAACCGGGGAAAGGAAAGATGATGACAGTTAGCACAGGTGGTTGAAAGTGGTACACAGGCCAAAGGCAGAAGGTTCTCCACATACATTTTGACTTCCAACTAATTCCACACCAAAGCCAATACATTTCGTTTCATTTATCCTGGAGCAAAATTTGATGCGTCATGGCTTGTTTGAATACATCTGCACGAATCTGTCTCTCTTGCGGTTCATATTGCTCTACATTGTTCTTGAGTGCACCAGTGTAAATCCCTTTTGGGGGAATCCTGCGGTAACAGTCTTACGCTTTTTTCTTGAAACTTGCAGCAAATTTTTGTGTTAGATTGTGCATACCTGCCATCTTGCCATTGTGGCCGTCTTCTTGGCATGCATCATTTACTGCACACTACTTAATGTTGGCATGCTTCTCCTGCTCCAAGAAATTGCTGATGGGGCATGCTTTCCTCCAAGACCATATCAACCTCTTTTTTCGCCTGTTGCATGTATATCCAAACCATTCCCATGTGTGATCTCCTAACGACAGTGAGTTTTGAGTTCTGATTTAGAAGCAGCCGCAAACTGGTTTTTCTTTTGCTTACGTCAACCTTACACCACAACTTAGTGATCTAAACTGTGTCTTGCATCTCACTCAACTGAAGATATTTCTAGTTCAGATCATCTTGAGTTTCTTCCACCATGCTCATGAATGTCACATTTTTCTTTTTTCTCTTTCTCTCCCCTCTTCCCTTCCTATCACTACCAAATCTCTTCTTGCAAACTGCATCGTACAACATCCCACCCCTCACGCTCTTTTTTAATCACCTTTCCCATCTGCATGTTCCCCTCCCTCCCATGAATTCCTCATGCCCCACCTTTCCTTCTACTTTGGCCCTCCACCAACCTGGCTGACTGACCTTGTCTACATGTGCTCCATTTTCGCCAACCCTTTTTCGTCCATTCTGTTCCCCTCCCCATCTTTGTCTTTGTAACTCAACCGTGTCCCCCACCCCAAAATGTTCTGTATTTATCCCTTCTTCCCTACCCAACTTCAACTCTCAAATTAACCTCCTTTTTCTCCACATCCAACATCTGCCCTACTTACCCTCTTTCTCTCCCCATTCCCTTCTAACCTGCTTATCTTTTTTCTCTCATCTCAACTCCCCTCTTCCTCACCTGCTGTCATCTTTGCCATGCTGACCTACCACTTGGCTGGATGCATCCCTCCTCTTTTCCCCTGTCTGACTCCAAACCCCACCCCACCCTCCTACTCTATCCACACAATTTCAGGGACGGGTAAATTCTGTTCGCAAATCAACCCATGGCAAGTCTGCGTCGGCCAATATAGAGGTAAGAGGCGAGCTCACAGTGTGCCCAAACTCACAAATTTGCTCGGCTTGAAAACTCGAACTTGTCTAAGCTGTAAGTCATAAGCCATCGCCCCCTCCTTGATTAAAGGACCAAACAAAATAAATGGAGAAATGGCGTAACTTCTCTTTCATACGCCAAATCATTATTGCTAAAATTACCTGTGAGTTTAAGTTTATACTGGGTAATTCTTCAAAACAGTGTGAAACCCATTTTTTAAAGGGAAAAAGTGGCATGTTATCAACTTTTGAAATGTTGGAGGATAAGAAATTTCAAACTCGGCAGAATCTTTGCTAATGGCCCAAACTAGAAACTTCTGGAACTCGTGACTCACCTTGACCTGAGGCACTCTTCCACAAGCAGCTGTTTGGCATATGCAGAAAGAAGTATCAAAGCTCTTGGCTCAGAATTCAGGATTGGGACGTCCTTGCAAAATCTGCCTATGCAGATTCTTGAAGTTTGGGACCTGTTTGTTTCACACTGATTGGGATCTCCATAGTGCTCCCAAAGCTGGTTCACGCTATCTGTTAGGTGGGTTCTGATGTCAGTTAACTGACGTTGGATCACTGATCACGATTCGTATCTGTGGGAAACAAACAGGCCCTGTGTGAGCTATTGGTTGGACTAATGCTCTGACACCGGAGCAAAATAGTTATGTATTCAATTTATTCATTTTGGCCTCTCGTGAATGGTTGGACGAATGCTCTGACACCGGAGCAAAATAGTTCTGTATTCAATTTATTCATTTTGGCCTCTCGTGAATGGTTGGACGAATGCTCTGACACCAGAGCAAAATAGTTATGTATTCAATTTATTCATTTTGGCCTCTCATGAATGGTTGGACGAATGCTCTGACACCGGAGCAAAATAGTTATGTATTCAATTTATTCATTTTGGCCTCTCATGAGACAGACTTTTGAAAAAGTCATAAGAAAACTCAAACAGAAGGGGGCTGACCAACCCACTCTACGTGATTCAGATGGTTGGATTGGGAGTTCCTACAAGTGCAAGAGGGCAAAATAACATAGAGCAGATTAAATTGACAATACCTTACTGATTTTCAGCCAGGAGGCTTGACTTGGAAAGAACTCATTCCTTCACTTTCCAGGAAAGGAGAAGTACCCTCACCCCAAAAGACAGTAACACATCAGAGGACACGGATGGACAAAGGAAGCTGGTGACAAGGACAGATTCCATGTCAATGGAAGGACAGGGCCTGCAGGTAGGCTACTAGACCTGGGGCTAAGGTCATTCAATGTTTTTGGGTTGTCGAGGGAAATCTGTCAAGTATTTCACTGAGAAATTTTGAATCAAGGGCAAATGGTTGACATAGTGCTTAGTTCTTGATATTATTATCATTGTTAGTAATCAATTCTTGTAAAGACACCAAGGATTGCTCAAAAGCGCTCAATTCATTGTAGCTCGCAAAGCTTGTGCATGAGCCTGATAGAAGAACTTGTCACCTACCTGTCTCTTAATTGCTGACAAGAATGTTGACTTCGTAATTGAGTCACAATTGTAAAGCACTGAGCTGAAGTCAAATAGACCTTATGCATTAATACAGAGTCAGAGACCATTCCTTGTTATTTTAGTTTTGTTAGAATGATGCACAAAAGGTTTCCTCAAGCCTATCACAGAGGAAGTAAACAATACCCTCATTTGTGATGTCATACACAAAAGGTCTGCTGCAGACTGGTATACAGTAAGATAGTTTTTGAGTATTGATATAAGCAAATCATAAAACAGTGAACTTCTGCACTCTAGCTTTTGCCAGTCAGTTGAAACCCAATACAATATTAGTTACTGACATTACTGTTTGTTCAATTCCTTGAAAACAATTTAAATTGTTGACATTATGGGGCTCTCATGTTTCATAAAGTGAAGGAAATGACGATGTACATATATATGAAATTAGAATTCTTTTGAAGTCATTGTGTTTTTTGTTTTTGACTTGCAGATCACACCTCTCCCTGGCTCCCATCCCCTAGTTGTTTTCATCAATCCCAAGAGCGGCGGTCGGCAGGGAGAACGCATCATGCGGAAATTCCAGTACCTCCTCAACCCTCGTCAGGTGTATGACCTCAGTAAAGGCGGACCCATGCCGGGGTAAGACGGAACTGCCATTGGAAAGCTTCTGACCATCACAGACAGTCCAGGATACATTGCTGGGATACAACTGGTTCACTGTAAAGCACCACATTGAATGTGTCACGTGCACTATTATGTGTGTACAAGGCATGAGCAAGAGAACCAGCGCATGAACCGACATACGCGTGCTCCATCCATTTGCACTACACTTCTTGGTTCAAAATGGTACCACACCTAGGTACTCTATAGCAAATATCACAGAATGTACACTTCAGCTTTTCAGGTTTGTGCGCACAAAATTATGTCCACTTCATTAAAGTGGGGAGCACTTAAGTGCACACACATTGTAGAAATGGTGCTGATTCATTTGTTTTTGCCTGTAATACCCCAGTGGTTAAATTAGTGATAACTGTTACACAGAAAGTTACAAAACAGCCATGTACTTGTAAATTTTTTGTTAAAAGGTACAGGTTCCTTCCATTATATTCATACTCTGTGTATTCAAATGCTGTCTCAGAGCTGTGGGTTCTTGTCTAACTTCTTGGTTTATTTGCATTCCCTCAGAATGAAATTCTACAAAGATGTGAAAGATTTCCGAGTGCTGTGCTGTGGAGGGGATGGCACAGTAGGCTGGGTACTAGACTGCATCGGTAAGAACATACACATTCATGCATGTTCACTTCCATGCCCTTGTGCACCACTTAGTTGAGAGCTAGCGTATGCGCACTCAATCTCTTTACTGTGAATTTCGATGCAGGTGACGTCTGACACCGTTCCGACACTTCTTTCCGCAGATGGAGACCATAATTTTTAACAAAATACAAAGAAAGTGCATGGAGAACTGATCACTAAAAATTGATTAGACAACGTTAAACCACTGTATTATATGAACCCAATTGCACAAAATTTGAAACAAATTCTGAAAAAGTGAGTTTTACAAAAATAAACACAATCAGATTTGAAAGAAAATATGTCCTCAGTCTGTCTCATTTTGAATAACTTCTCTAGTTTATCCAAACAAACGCAGTGCCGTGTGTATTAAGACCCGATAAAACATCGGTAGTATTTTCAAGTTATTGTGAATTGAAATGCATGAGAATCGTGTGTCCGTAGTAGTGTATGTATATGTACACATGTGTTTATGGAGTACATGCACATGTACATGAACGTGCATTTGTGCACACGTAAATCATGGCCGACCAGTCGACAGAGAGTCAAAATTGAAATTGATCAAACTAACAAAGGACAATTCGCAATAGTTTAAACATAACGTGGTAACCTTTTTCAAACACTCTTTCAGTTATCAGGATATGCAGCATGTGTGGACCAACTGGAGAACAATTCAAGTTTTCGAGTTTAAAATACCCTTTTTTACGCTCGGAAATGTAACTTACACATGCATCTTTCACCCTTTTTTCTCCCAAATGTCACCTATGTCAACAAGAAACACATCACAAAATGAAATCTGAAGCGTGATTACATTTCTCTGGTATAAATTCAGCAAACTTTGACACATTGTGGAAGATCTCCGGAGATAGATTTCGGTGTAGTTGCTTGTTGGCTGGCGTTACCATTTTAAAAAACGACAGAAAGTGACCACGACTTTGCCGAATTTTAGCGCATGCACACAAACTAAGTGGAAGGGGTGAACATATGTGCATTCTTGAGGCAAACAATTTCAGTTTGCTTTTCCAGATAACATGAGGAAAATAACACATAAGCATCATTCAGGACATAGCAAAATTGAATGGTCCGTGTATCAAGGTTATAAGCACCTTGAGTTTTTTGCACGACCCTAAGGACTGCAAATTGTGACTGAGGTAATACCACTGGAGACTTTGAGTTTTAATTCCTCTTTTAAGGGAAAAAAGGAAACGATAACATAAGCATTAATAAGTGTGCTTGATCTGTAACAACTTTGCAAGGTATTGTTCAAGATAGATGGAGCAGCAATATCAGATATTTTTTCCCCCAGATAAGTTGGGCTTTGATCCCCGTCCTCCTGTGGCCATTCTCCCCTTGGGTACAGGCAACGACCTCGCTAGATGTCTCAACTGGGGTGGAGGTAAGTCTAGAAGGATTTTGCTGACATACTAGCATCAAGAGATAAGATGGGTTGGGAGTGGTTGGAGTCAAGTGATATGGTTAGATTCAATGAGCCTGTTCAGTATGTCAAAAGACAGGGTCATTTAAGATACATTCGGACTCGTATGCATGGGAGGTTTTTTTTGTTTTGCTTGTATATCATTGTCACTCAAGCCTCTGTACAGTGTTGAAGTCTTTCACTAATGTTGTTGATATGCGCTGGTTGGTGAAGGCTCCTTCACAGTAAGATATGTTGGCTTCACATTCAGGTTTTGTTAAGAAAATTAACTAAGAATATTGGGTATTCTTTGGATGGTCAGAATATGTCCAATAAACAAAAGTTTGGATTGAGCATCTGTGAAAATGATCCAAAGTCAGCAAAAGTAATTGGCTTCTCCACAACTCGAGTTGTTTACATCCTTCTTATGGCAGGCTACGATGGAGGCAGCCTTACTCGGGTTTTACATGATATGCAGAATGCTGAGAATACGTTCCTGGATCGATGGCATATTGAGTTCAGCACAACCAGCACAGATGAGCAAGGAGACCCCGTACCATACAACATCATCAACAACTATTTCTCAATAGGCGTGGTGAGTTATGGTGACTTGATTCTGTAGGTTAAAGCCAAGCCAACTTCCTTGTTCAATGGCAATGGGTTTTGGACACCATCTTTGAGGAGGTTCACTCAAGAACTATGGATTGCCATAGTTTTAACTAATTTGGATCAAAGGCATACTAGTTAGTGATGGTCTAGTTGACTATTTAGTATCCGGCTCAGCCTGTCAAGGTTGGCTGTGTTGCTGGTTAGCAACAGCCATGTGCATCACATTGTATAGGAGGGAGCAAGGAATGTGAGTTGCCATGGTGATGCTTGACCATTGTTTGACTGCAAGTGTTCACACTTTACTTATTCACTCATTTACACTTACATGTGTTGACAGATTTCTGTGTGGCAACAAAAATGAGACACAATGGATTCCTAGGGGACTGTTTACTCTGATAGAAGGCAGACCATTTGACAGGTGTCAATTGAACCTGAGGGATAGTTGAAAAATGCAGTGCTGGAACAACCATACTGGCCAATCAGCTGTCTGGTTAGATATCCTGTCGGGTGCCATTATTTGATGAAAATAGTAACTTGTGGGTGTCTGCCTTGTGGTCATGTAAAATATCATGTGGCATTCTGTTATCCATCATTGCTTTCCTTTACTGCTCACCTGTGTGAATAGGCTCTAGTAGAGGTGCAAGGTGCAACATGAATCAACCAAGTTACTTGTTTTCCCTTATTCTGCCCCAGGATGCATCCATCGCCCATCGGTTCCACACCATGAGGGAGAAACACCCCGAGAGATTCAACAGCCGCATGAAGAACAAGCTCTGGTACTTTGAGTTTGGCACGTCAGAAACATTTGCCGCCACTTGCAAGAACTTGCACGAGGATATTGACATCATGGTAGGACTTTTCTCTGATGAGTTAAATTATCAGTGTTTAAAATGCTGGTGCATTAGTTGTGTACCAATGGTATGTTTATTGATCACTGTCAATTTATGTGGTAATTGTCCTGTGTGTCCTTTCAGCTAAAAAAAGTGGGGGAGGGTACCAGGAACACATTCCCTTTTGCAGGAATAGTTTCCTCATTTGGTCGTTACTTCGCTGCTTCAAATGGACAATGTGTTTAGTGTTTAATGAAATGCAGACCAGGTCAGCTTGGGTGTAGGATGTTTGTGTGTATGTGAGTTTGTTTCTGCATTCAATTGGGGACCTTGAACAATAGAGGACAATAAGGTCCCTGATTGACAGAGGGTCCCCGATTGACAACTGTGTACAAAACATATGGATGGTCTTCTAAAAAAGTTAAAGTACAAACAACAATAGGAGGGCCCCAGTTGCAGGCAAATACACACTTGGGTGTGTTTGTAAGCATGAGAGTATGCTAGTAACAACTGAACATCAGAGTGATGTGGACTGTAGACATTCTTTGGATTCTGTGGACTCCTTTAGATTTCAACGTGTTGTGCACAAACGTATAGTGGTTTACTTTCACAGTTGTACTCCCTAATGTGTCGCTTAGTGCATCTTTCAATAGCTATGGTTTACATGTTTAGTGTTTACTGTATGATTATCAGCAAGGAATCCATATTTGACGCAGCTTTGCTAAATCAAAGTGGCAAAAACCACTTCTGAGTTAAAGGCCTTCAACCAAATGTTGCGCATTGGAAACAATAAGAACACTTTAGTTTCAGCCATGTGAGATGTACATCAGGATGTCAAAGTGTTTAAAATGTATGGAAATAAATAAGTGAAAGCAATGAAGTATGATTCATTTTGTAATGTCCAGTATATTCCTCCATGAACACCCCTTTCGAAAATGCCCCTAGTCTAGCAAATATTAAGGTTATAGTACCGACCGTTCATTTCTCCTTTGCTCTTTCAAAAGTGCGACGGCGTCTCACTAGACCTCGCTAATGGCCCTTCCCTGGAAGGCATCGCCGTGCTGAATATCCCCAGTATCTACGGGGGCTCCAACCTCTGGGGTGATACGCCCAGTGGCAAGAAGCGCAAACGGCTGGCCAAGAAGGCCCAGAAGAGACGGGAGAGCGAGGGCCACTCAGCAGTGAGCGGCACCCAGTCCAATGTGGACCTCGCCTTTGCCAAGCAGTGTAAGTCTTATAGTATGGGCGTCGCCAGGGGACGTTATATCTCTTTGTGGGAGGGGGGAGGGATGGGAGGAGCACTGCCACCTATCAGTTATGGAGGAGGGCAGTCCCAAGACGTTTTTATGGAAGCTGGAAATTTTGATCCCCCTTGCTCATTTTGGTTTCTTTTCTTTCAATTTTTCCATTTTAAAAACTGTCTTGAGTGCTTCCATCTCCCCCCCCCGCCTCCACAGTGCTCATGGGCTAGAGCCCTCGGCATGATCTCTTTAACCCGACATAAAACTTGCTCATCAAGTTGACAGGCTTAGCAGAAATCAGCTGGGAAGCAGTCGCAATCAACTCCTTTTTGCTGTTCATTACATATATTGTACACTTAGGAAGTTTCTGAGCTTCAAGCCTTCTTGAAATTGGTCCATGGTCAGTTACAGTATTCACTACATATGAAAATAACAGCGAAGCATCTAGCTACACTTCCATGAATGCATAATATTGCAACTATAAGGAAGTCACACCACGATAGTTTATCATGACCCTGTGTTCTGCAGTACATTATCTGGGAAAGGTAACAAAATGTACAGATTGTAGGATTATGGGAACAACACTGTCAACACTGTGGTTTTTTTTTCTGGCTGAATTTTCTGAATTGTGAGTTACACCCGATTGGTTAGATACAAATTGTTAAAGAATTTATCAAAGCCAGACAATTGATATCACATTGAGTTGAATCTATTTTTTCCAATGTTATTGTAAATGAAGAAGCCTTCAGCTGTTTCAAGGCTTACTCTTTACTTTGGTTGTAACCTTTGCATGAAAACTGGAACAGCGAAGACATCATGGCCCCTTGCTACATTAAGCATTTCCACGAACAGATGAAACACTGCATTTTCTCTGTCTTTTGCCACACACACAGTGACCTAGGTTGTGATCAGTTTGTGATCTTTCCTCCCACTTTCCAAAAACTTGTGGCTATGTAAAACATACCACATATGTGAATATTTCATCAAATCCAAGTGAAGTGTTGAGAGCATATAAACACAGAAATATTAGAACTTGCTCAATCTTTGATAGCCCCCAAACCCCATCCTGCCCCCAACAAATCCCCACCCACCCAATAAACACTCACCCCATGCTAACAAATTTGCACCTCACCTGACCTGATTCACATTCCATTCTGTCAAAACCCCTCGCCACCTAGCCACACCCCCATCCCCGAACTCCTATCCCACGCTACCAAATCCCCAGGCATAACACGTACACTACAGTGTCTCCATGTATGTGTACAGGTTGGAATTCAGTTTCTTCATTAGATATTTAAAATACACTTTAAGGCAATAATCCAATTTGTCATACCTCTGTCTTGGATACCGTCTGTTCATTGGCCCAGAACGATCACATGACAGGGTGATATATCTATATATCACACTCACCGTGAGACATCTTATTCTACCGATGGCATGCCCATGAGACAGAAAAGCTTCAGGAAGTTCAAGAGCGACCATTGTCGCTCATTTAGTCAGTTTTGCGTGGTACCCATAATACGTTTTGTGCGTACGCTACCAGGGAATTTGATCAGTGGTTGCACTTGTATAACAGACTCATTCCAGTCCTCGCAGCATATGAGGTAATGCAGGGACCACTAACCCAGACTTCATGACGTGAGCTTGTACTCACTGGTACCCGCACTACTTTCACATTAAAGTTTACGCATTTGAAGAAAGCGAGGGAACAGTGCATTCTTTGACAATATCATTTATGTCTGTTGTGTTAATTGTGAAGTTTTTTCAGTAGGCCTGTCGTCGTCTGAACTTCTGAGATTCAGAGCTTGTTTTTTTGAATAAATTCCGTAATACAGAGGTATGACAAAACAATTGTTGACTGCTGTGATGTGGTATTTGATGTTTTAAGCACCTGAGGGATGCATAGCACCCTGAGGCAAAATACCAGGTTGAAATAAACAAACAATAATGACATATTATAAGTTACTCGCAAGCAAAAATTTTAACAATATGATTTGTCATACCTCTGTCTTGAATACTGTTTTTTCTCATTTGCCAAGAATGATCATGAGACAGGGCAATAACACTCACTGTTAGATGTCACATCTGCCAACGTTGCTATCATATTACGTGCATGCACGCACGTGCTAATTGATGACTACTAATTGCTAATGTTCAAAGATTCCTTTTTTTGGCCCTTAATCTCCCCCAGAAAAACAGGTGAAAAACATCATAAGACAGAGATATGACAACACAATTTTTGAATGCTGTGATGTATGGTCTGAAGTTTTTAACACCCTTGGGTACGCATAGTGCCCGAGGCTCAGGTGCTTTCCCTTCCTTGGGTTTTGAAACTGTTGTGTCTCACATCACAGCAGTCAACAATTGTTGGATAAAATGTGGACAGAGAGACAGCAAGCAGTATCCACTCTGAGCGGTACAAAAGAAGGCGTGCTTGTAAATGAAACTGACACTTCTTTGGTACCAACTCACCGCTTGGGCACGCAAGTATATGCACGTTTGACGTGGAGCACGCTGAGTACGTGCTACAAATTTATTCCGGAATGCGTGGTCTTTGCGTACACGCAGAACGTGTGCAAGAACCCCAATTGGAAAACTTAATACCACCTGTCTCTCTTTCGCTGAGTGTGCACTTCAGCTCGGGGTGGATTACATGGCTCACATTCACATTGCAGTTCACCAAAAATTGCCCCCCACGCTTTGCAAAGAATCCTAGCTTCTTGTCTATTAATTATTCCATTGTTACAGTACAAATGACACCTTGATTTTTAAAAAAATCAATTGGAGTTTTAAGAAAGTGGATTTTAGATCTGAATACTGAATAATCCTTGCAGTTCGCCTCCACTGCTCCAAATTCTCAAAAAACGTGTGGACCCTTCCACATCACGTGACCCACAGTTGTTACAGTCATTGTCCACTTGCAGTGAATAAGCCTTTTGCGAGTTAAATTTGAATAAAGTTGGAAGTACACTGAGTTCTTTAGATTCACATGAACATAACAATTTGAATTCTTCATAATCACAAGAGACATAAGAGACACCGTGCACCAATACATTATTTTTAATGGATAAGAGGGGCACATAGGAACCAGTCTATTCCAGAGATAGTGGTTGCTATGCAAAAGCTTTCCCCAAATCATGAGGTATAGCAACAGTGTCTTTTAGTCTGGGGAAATCAAGTTGTTATGTTTATGTACAATCACATAACTCATTATACCAGATTTTACTCAACTTGACTTGCACAAGGCTTGTTGTCACTGGCAACCCTTGGGGTCAGTGACCTCAAGAACTTTCAACCTGCCTTGTTGTTTGCATTCAGTACATGTGGGAGTACTTGGGTATCAAGATTTGCTTCATTGATGTCAGTGCACAAACACCTTGATAATTGGCAGCGATAACCTTCTGTAATAAATGTGTTATGTCTGGAATGAATCAAATGAGCTTATCTTGGAATTTCCTGTTATTTTGTAAGAATTACATTTCTGTGAATTTGGATGTGAAGTCAAAGCTGTGAAATTTTCATGTGTAACTGTAAGTAAGTTGCCTTGCAAAAACCAAGTGGTGAAGTTTGTAATGTACATGTGGGTTTTGTCAGCAACTTGGATTTAAAAGAAAACCTGGCTGACATGTATTTCCTGCTTTAATTCTTGCTGTTGGAAGAGGCCCAGGTGTCTGCTACATCAAGATAACTCTTTTTTTAAACCATATTGAAAGATAACGATGTGCATTAGTTCCTGTACAACCTAGTTACCAAAATATATGTCTCAAGATTTTGCAGCATAAATTGAATCCTGAACTACAGGTTGTTGCCTCTCTGAAGAATGGTGGCAATTTTTTTTCCGTCCTATAAACACTGACATCGGGTACCCTGTTGATCTATAAGCAAAACCTAACACTGATTGGCCTTTGCTCATGCGGAAAATGAAAGAATCCCTGTGCAGAGTTTTCTGAAATAGGCCACACAATGGGATGGGATGGGCCTTTCATTGCCCTTCAAAGTGTTTCTTGAACTGAAGTGGGTGCAGTGGACTTCATGTTGTTAATTTGGTTTGTTGGGTGCATCTAGCCTCTAGGGTGACTGCTCTGTTTAGCTTTTGCTTGGATGGGATTGCAGAGCTTGCTGTATTGCCTAATTAAGTTTGTGCTGGTCTTGTTTGTCACAAGTAACAGTCTGACAATGCGAAATACCATGGTTACAAATCCTTTATTTTTTATTTCTACAAAGTGGCAAACTGTGCATCATTTATGCTTGAAGGCCCTTTGATGCCAAAGATTTATGACCAACAATACAGCACAGATTGGGTCTGAGGGGCTCTTTCCATGCATACTGTGACTCAGGCAACTGAAGGGAAAAACAAGTTCTGGATCACTTTTCAAAGCTTTTCTTCTGTGTGTTCCAGCTGATTCTTGTTGTTGGCTCTCAGTTGGATCAGTGTACAGAAACTCAATCATGGTATTACCACTTCATGGTTTTCTTTTGAGACTGAGCTGCAGCTAGAACCCTGACAGGTTGTGTCTAACTGAAATAAAGTTTATTGCTCTCAAAAAGGCCAAGCCCTTGTTTTTCCTTAGTGTTTGCATTCCTTAAATTTTGGCTTCTCACCTGTTCAGTGTCAGTCTCCAGTAAGTTAAGCGCTGACTTCAAGGATTTTGGCTAAGAATGTTTCCTTTCACTGTGGCTGGGGCCTCAAATTCTGTATTGTACAAAGCCAAAGTTTCGAATCTTTTGCTGGGGTATAAAAAGTCAGAGGCAAAATCAGAAATCTGAGGTCAAGTCAAGATTTGAGAAGCTGTTAAATCTTTTGCCTTGCCTTCCTTTCAGCCATTGGAGACAAAAAGATTGAGGTCATTGGCCTGGAGAGTGCCCTTCATGCCGGTCAGGTCAAAGCTGGTATCCGCTCTTCGGGTCGACGGCTGGCCCAGTGCTCCACAGTGACCATCCGCATCCTGAAGCGTTTCCCGATGCAGATAGATGGCGAACCCTGGCTCCAGCCTCCCTGCACGGTATGTCACTCAACAGGAGCTCTTTGTGACTTTGCTCCATCCGACTTTTGTCAGAGCCTCTTGTTTTTGTGATGTTTCTTAGATGGGAGACCTAAGCCAAGGATTTGCATAGGGCTTACGTCCAGGCCAGTTGGATTTGTCAGATACCAGGCAAAAGCAACAGGTTACTGGTTACTCCTATTGGGTCAAAGTCCCACTAAACAGAGAGTAATCAGATGGATAATTTTGTGTATTAAAGCCAGGGGCAAGTTTGCCTATCTCTAGCTCATGCTAGACTTCAGTCAGTTGTGGTATTTTGTCTCGCCAAAGGACATAAAGAATATGATAATATATCATGAATGTAGCCTGACATGTTGGCTGAGGTCGACAAAGGCTCAAGCTTTGACAAGATACAGTTCTGAATATAATTTCACTTGCTCTGTCCACAGCCTAATCCACAATTGACAATGTTACTTTTGCCCGATCCAATCACAGATTGCAATAACGCACAAGAACAGAACTCCCATGCTGATTGGCCCGCCACCCAAGAAGAGCTTTCCGGGGCTTCGGAACTTCTTCTCTCGACCCAGCATATCGGAGGAGGATCCCAGTGACATACGCATGTAGAGACACTGACTGTATTGATAACAAACATGTCGGGACATAACGTGCAGTTTGACTACAGTGACATCCTACATGCCTGCTGTATTTATAAGACGTAGCAAGGCAAGACGCGTGTGATGACATCAACTATGTTATATAAGCTGACAAGAGAAATCTTGACAACCACAATGAAAATACTTGTATACTTTTTTAGCACTCATTGTGTGGAAGAAAACACTTGAACAATAGTTGCTAATTTTGACTCGTCAAATCTGGAATTAATTTTAGTTCGTTGCAGTTGAAAACCTGCCAGAGTTGTGGAGCATGGCTTATTCTTAACATTTTCCTCTGCGGATGACCAGCCAAAACTGTGTAATTTACACACTTGTCTGTGGCTGGTTGCTTCCTGAAGTCAGCTTAGGGACTGTTCTTGCTTCGCAGAAATTGTTGCCTGCTAAGAATTGAACTAGGTCAGATTGGCTTCAAAAAACAGGTACACTTTTCTGTAACCCAGCTATCACAAATGACAGACTACTGAAGATTACAAAAGGCGACGTTACAAACTGATTTTTGCGAGGAGTATTTTTTTATTATGTGCATTCTGGAATATATATCATTTTGTTTAGCCTTAAAAATAAAAATGTTCATCGCCAGAGAAGAAAGACGAAAAGAAAATTGTACCTTGAAAAAAGCACAACAAAACACTGGTAACTATAGGGATATATCTTAGTGATATTTTAAACATTCTTTAAATTTTATTACACAGAGAAAAAGTATTTTGATATTCTCTGAACTCACCTTTCCTATTCAGTTCCCAGTTTCTTGAAACTTTCCATTGACAGGAAACCATCACACACCTTGTTCATCAGCAGAAGAAACAACAAAGATCCACCAAATTAACAACGGAAGTGGCTGGCCCACGTACTGTTTATTGGAAAAATCCAGTGGTGTGGTTTGCACCATCTTTAAAAAGCTTACAATTGTTCACCTTGTTTTCAGAAATACTGAAAGCTGGAGCATTCCCAATGCCTTATTCTGATAGACTTTTTTTTTCCTTGAATTATGTCTGTGCACATGGCATATGCTCTAGATCTCTTGTGGGATGTACAGGGTAAAGACCCCCCCCAAAAAGCTACATAACTATAAAGTAGCCTGCAGCGTCTCCCAAAATAATTGTCAGAAATTGTTTTGGCTGTCATATTAATGGTTAGGATGGTTTTTTTTCACTTCACTGTAAACACTTAATTTAAATCTGATGTGTTGCAGAGATAATCTTGATTACATAGAACAAATGCTTTTTCATTCTGTCCAGTGTGATTTACACAAAAAAATGCTATAATTTTGTCATTTCAAACAGTATTCGTTCATGTTAAATCTTCTTTTATTACTTTCCATCAACAAACAGACGGGATCCTGAACCAGTTCAAAGCGGTTGTTACAGAAGTTGTTAATTTAAGGTCAGCACCTTGTTACAAATTGACCGGAGATAAAATCAACAGGTTCAGCTGAAGTGGGTTTCTCTAACCCAAACTCATTCAACTCTGGAACTATCAATAAGCAACCATTGACTTCTGAAAGAAGCTTAGCTTCATCAAGTTCAAAACTGTAAAGAAATTTGAAAGAAGTAAGCAATCCGAGTAATTTTGTAATAATTTAGGATTTGAATTCAGTGACTGCATGCTCTTATAAGATAAACTGTTTTTTAAACGTGTATTGGATGGAACAAAAAATGAGTGGTAATACGTAATTGAAAATGTCTTTGCAACACACCATCACATTTGAATCAGGATTTCAGTTTTGGAAAAGATAACATCCTAAGCTTCACTTTGAAACCAAAAACAAAATAATTTCCGAGAGTTATTTTGGGAGAAAATAAAAGTGTTATTTTGGTGTTTTTTAATGGTTTATCTTTGCCTCATACATGTTTTAACATCCACCCCAGAAAACCTTTAGTTATATTTGATTTTTAGTTACCTCTGTACATGCCCCTTTTCTTTCTCTCTTTTTGAACAAGATTCTGTACAAACAAAGCAAAAAAACCACAAGAACTTAAACTTTAAATTATACTTGATAAAGTCTATTTTTTACAAGTGTGTTTTCTCTGGGTGTAAATAACTTGGTGTATGAAGGTTTATTTTGTACTGGTTTTCAAAGATTGGGCATGTTGGTGGATGGGTATTTGCTTTGCCTTATGACTGCATTGGAATTTACATTGAGGCTGACTTTTGAAAAACCTATGTTGAAATTTCTTTCTTATTTTGAAACATCGCAAAAACTGCAGACGTGCTTGGCTGAGTGTTGAGCTTTGACTGTCCTATTACAGTCTACAGCTTGCCCGTTCAAGCTTTTGTCGTTTTCTGCAGTATCAGCTGTCCTGTTTGTGTGATCACCACTTACTCCTCTTTATTTGACCTCAATGCTGCTTTCCAAAAAATCTGCTTGATAGCCTGAAAGTAACCACTTGGGCTCTCATTGCCTTTTTTGTGTGTTGACTTCTCCAATTATTTATTTAAAACACATTTGGTAGTCACTGATCACACTTTTTGGCCTTTACTGGGTAGCAATTTTGTATAATAGTTGAAATGGCAGCCGCCGAAGAGTGTGGAAACACAGCCATTACTGCAACCACACCACAATTGCACTTGATGGCCTTTCATTTTCCCCTCCAGTTTTCAAAATGGCCAGAAATCCTTGTTACCCTGTACCCTATTTTGGCTACCTTTTAGCTACCAGCAGTTGGTCAAAATGTAGAGCTCAGAGCTATGTGAATTGTATATACTTATCACCGTATAGATCCTGCTAATATTTCTGAAGATGTGTTTGATCCTTTTTTTTTTAGGCAGACAAAATCCTTTGCTGCCAGGAATATTTTCTTTTTGCCGGTTAATTTATAAGCATTTCTTAACAGAGGCATCACTTTAAACCCTCATTACATTTTGCTCAATTTGTTTGTATTTTTGGTTTTGACTTTTTGCTTCATTTGAAAAGTTACTTTTCAGACATTTTTCTGAAATGCTTCAAAAACGTACTTGTTTTGTTTAAATGGGTTGTCTGCAGAATGTCAACTCTCACCTTTAAACTACAAAGACATGAAGAAAAAAAGCACATCAATGCAGAAAACTTCGATATGTATTAACCTTCGGATGATTTATTTTCTGTTTAAAATATTAGTGACATGAGTATAAACCATTTTATTCAGACATATCACATTACAAGTATTGTTATGAGGGAGTCTTTAGTTTAGCATGATTTTTTATACAGAATTAAAAGCATGAAGCAAGTAATTTCTGTCATTTTTGGCATCTGTTCTGATTGCATTTTTTTCCTGAAATCCCTTCACTGCACATCATGAACAAAGGCCAAGCCCCTTTTGATGTTTGGTCATGGTTATTAACATGCAGAATTTGCATATTCAACAATTTAAGCTTATTTACTAATTATAGGGAAGCTACTTCCAAGGTCATTGCCGAGTCTTCAATGCTTAAAGCTCCCTGACTAGTGAGTGAATTGATAGCATAAGTCATGAATGTGCTCATGAGATGGGTGTGGCATATGTCAAGTGCAAGCAGTGGATTGATCCATTCATGACTTCAAACAAGAGATGAGACCTTGTGAAAATAATCAGCCTTCACTTAGAGGGCTGTAGGTCTTTGTGATGGTGGGGGCCTAGTGCAGACTTTTGTCAGAAAAATTCAATTGTTCATTTTCAGCCTTCATAATCAGTATATTTACTGCCCACAATGAATAGTTTCTGCCTTTCTTCTAATACCGATCAGATGTATAAAGGTGTGACTTTAATTTGGATTGATTGAGGGATGTTTCTTACTTTGAAGATTCACCAGTTCCTTACCTTAAACATATTGTCTTTCATTCAAATTTTAACCTGCATAATCATGCATTTATATGTACATGTATACTCTAGTTCCTGACGTAGACATTAACTACATGTTCAAAATTTATATGACAGTACAGTGTAGAACTATGCATTTTGCCACATTAATTGATCTTGTATTTAAATGTAAACTTTATCAATGTATCCTTCACATTCATGGCCAATTTCATTATGGTTTGAATATTCGTGGATATCATTTGTAGAATTTTCAAACACTCATTTCAAAAGGGAGATTTTTCTGAAGTCATTACATGTGACGTATGTTGCAGATTTTTTTTTTCTGATTCTGCTGTATGTATTTTAATTTGTCTGGTTAATACTGAACTTTTTAAAATACTGGCATATGCTGATTGCAAATGACTTGGCTACAGCTGGCCAGAACACACTCTCTACAGTATATGGTTTTAGCCACTAGCAATGATTTCACACATAATTTGCAGCCATAGCCTGGTTATCGGAATACAGCCTACGTTGAATGTGATGGCCTGCGTAATCGTTTGCTTCCCAGTTCAGCAATAAGAACATACATCCATGGACTCCATGTGTGAACCAAAGAGGGCACTTTGGAAGAGCTTGCATTTCACTGGTCCACCTGAGCTGTTCAACCCACTTAGGTTTTTTTTTATCAGAATGTGGTTGGGAAGAAGTGAGCCTGCAGGTATAAATAGAACCAATGATACCAGGGGAGTACATGACCTACAATAACAGTAAAAAAATTTTCTGTCATGGTGTAGGGAAGGCTACACTATTAACAGCTTCGCTCTTTTCAAACCCCTGTTTTATATCTTTTGAACTGTTACGGCATAATCACCACCATATCTTAAAATAGATTTTGCTTGATTGAGAAAAGAAATCTTGAGTGTAAATTTCACAGGGCAATTGCTTTTGAGATTGTTATCAACAGTTTATCAGCTTAATCAGGGTACTTGTGACGCAAATGTTTAAGATGTAGTCTTGGCTTGTTAATGATATAGAAAAATTAATTTTGAGACGTGATTTGTGTATCTTTCATATGAACCTTGAAAAATATGGCCTTTGTGAAAATTAAGGATTAAAAATATGAATTTTAGCATTTGTAACCAAATCCACTTCAGGTGAAATAACACATAGCTTAGATCAGTTTAGTCCATTACAAATGCGGCAGGATAAAAAAATTGACATGAAATGAAAAATAGTGTAGGAAAATTGGTATACTCGTCTATAGTGCTTTGATGGTCCTGATGAGGAATGAGCGTATTTTTTATTTCTGTGCACTTTCTTATTGAAATTTCTTTGATTAAACCCCATCTTCATTTCGGGGTAATACAAGGCCTTTTGGATGTTGTTTTGTAAGAGTAAAATTGTCTTTTTAAAGAAGCACCACCTCAGTCGAAACATTGGATTTTTTTTTATTGCAATGGAAGGATGGTATTTGAGGATATTCAGGATACATTGTGCGTAGTATCATGATTAGGGTTATTATTTTCTTATCTGTTTAGATAATATCTAAAGGGTGAATCCAAGATGTGTAAATATTCAGATGTGCTGATCTCTTACTTTGGTTAAAATAGAAAAGACTTTATTAAACAAATTAACATGTACAGGAATATGTAAATTACACAACTGTGGTGTTTATAACAAAATCAAATTTTGCTGGGTTTAAGGAAGGTAGTTATGCTGAAATTATTTTCATGTAACTTATTGGTTTAAATATGGTAGACAGAAAAAATACTATTTGATTAATATTTGTTTTATTTTTTAACAAAATTGGTTTTATTGGGGTAAAAAATAGTAGCTTAGACCACTAGTTCATTGTGAATGTTTTAAAGGAACAGCATATACACTGAATTAACTGAATTCTAGTGGCTACATTACTAGCAACAATACCACACATTGTTGACCTGTATTGATTTTCAACCAAAAACAAAACCAACGTGCATATTTTGTTGCTTTAAAACAGTCCAAACTGAAGATGCTTAATTGTTGTAGGCGCCGTGTAAGGAGTAGCGGTTATTGTAACAACTTCGGGGTAAAATGTGCTGTTAGATTGAGATGGCTTCTTGATTGAGAATAAACATTAACAATCCGGAGGGGGAGAATGGCTTCGTTTCGTTTAATTAATGCTTGTGGTTTTTGTGTGGTGATCGAAATGGGGAATTGGCCGACAAAGATGATCATAACTTGTGTGATTTCATGAGGAGGAAACTTATTTATAAAAACATAATCCTTGTGCTGTCTCGTACACGGCAGTGTTTCTTAGATACAAACTGTGGTTGACAATGTCGTAGGTCTAACCACGGAGGAAGGGATAGTCTCTGGCCGTGTACTCTGTCTCGACCAGTGGCGTACATTGTAGGCCCTATCTCGTGTTTTACTGGGGGGCAGCTTTCAGTGGCGTGTTTTTGGGGGCAAGTTTTTGGTCAGCCTTGTTCAATATCCATTCCTCCGTTTTTTTCAGGGGAGACCGGGAATTTGTGGGGGCACGTGCTCCTCCCCCCCGGCTACGCCAATGGTCTCGACCTCCATAACTGATTTCTGCACCAGTAGATCAACGGCGAACCAGTCACTCCACACCTTTGATTTTTTTTCTAGAAAGATTCCTTTCCCTTCTTTCCTCGTGTCTTTTTCCTGTTAACCTGTCATTTAATGGATTTTAAGACAAAAAATCGCTAAATCATATGCTCACGTTTCAACTCCATTAAGGGCGCCGCTAACTTTCTCTTAAACAGCAGGCGCTCCCCATTCCCCGCACCGTTTTTGGTAAATGCTGGATCCACCACTGTGCGTGCATCGTCCTGCGGCCCTCAAATGTTTAGATCATCGACAGTGAAACTCGTAAGGCAGTTTTGAAATCGAAGGATTACCCGTGGTGGTTACCTAAGTTATCAATTGTGCCATTTCAAATACGGGTGATACCCCTGTGAAGGACTCAGTTACGACGCTGCCGAGTGATTGAACCTAGAATTTGTCCCCGTTCATGTATTAAAGTTACTACCGGTGCAATCTTTATACAGCCAGCCGCATTCTGTTGTCGTCCTTGCCCTTTATAGTTTAATGTGCTCTCACACGATCAAAACGCCTGTAATGATAACGCCCCTTTTTAGGTGATAATGAGCGAAATCTCAACATAACATTGCAACTGATTGAAGACGGCCCCTGTACGCGCGGTTTTTTGTGTTGTAACTAAGGCGAGATGTTAGTTCCAGGGAAGTGTCATTAATGTCATACATTTTACCACAGAGTGCCTGTTATTATAACACCGAGCCCGATTTACGTTAGGTCTGTGCCGAAAAAAATGATTTCCTAAAAC